ACACACACACACAAAGATGCATATGTACGGTAGTGCCACCTATTCATTCTCTCTCACCCGCTGTTTCTTTCACACAGACGCTGATGATTTTTGCTTGACACCTGGACATACGCCTCTACTGCCCTTCTTGCCGTTTTTGTCTAGCTAAGACCTCCTATAATGCCACATGACAYGCAGCCACCTGAAATCAAACAGGTCTCTTTCTGCTTCTCTGGGAAAGGGTGATGGTTCAGAGCTGAGTGGCCCTTTCTCATAACTGGATGAGCTCGAGGGCAGATCCGTCTATCATCTGGTGTCCACTGTGGCGCTGAAAACACAGGGTTTTGAGACCCTAAAAGAAAAAAGATCATTTTGTCTTTATTAACGAAAAAAAATTGGAAAAAAGGGAATGTTTTCCTTATAGTTTAGCTGCATTTGTATGTTAATTTACTGTTTTACTATTTGTGCACTAAAGGCTTACCGTATTTACTCAAGTATAATACGTAAAATTAAATCCATAAAATCATCCAYAAAGTTGGGGGGTAGTACTATMCTYGGATAAATATTTTTACTTMTGTATTTTAACTGAAATATTGGCTTCATTCACAAAATGCATGAGTCCGAAAATGAGACCGCATCGTAAAAAGCAGTTGAAACGAGCTTACCTCTGACACTCCTCTGTGCTTCAGAGTGAGATAATAACAGATCCAGGCAGGCGACATGATGTGAAAAAAGGGGGAAAAGCAGTCCTGCACCTTAGTAATGATAACGAACTAATGACATTAGCGTGTGACCGGGCCGCTCCTTGAACAACAACAACAAACACTTGTGCGTCTGTAATGGCGGCCGTCTACCGGTGTTCTGAAAAAGTTTGCATCCCTGAAAAAAATGTTTCCCCACCAGAGGGGGCRCTCACGAGTAGGAAGTAATCTGCTTTTTCTCCACAAGATGGCCCAAATCTCATGTGAAGTCTCTGACTTTTGTGTTAGCGCCTCCTGGTGGACTATGTGTAAAATGCCAGAATTCATATGATGCTGCTACAGCTGATTTGTTTATATTTGTTGTCAAAATACCTTTTAGTACATATGTTGTTAAAATAAAATGAACAGTCCAATGATCATTTTACTGATATGCATAAAGACTGCAAAGGCTGAAAAATCTTGAAGTCTGTATGAAATTGGATGTAGTTTGAGGTTTAAATTTTTTATGCTTTTTTAAGCTCAAAAAAGGGGGGTCGTATTATACATGAGATCGTATTATACACGAATAAATACGGTAATTCAAAAGAGGCACAATGTAGCCTTGAGTTTGTGTGTGTGCTGAAGGTTTGACTCTAGTTTCTGAAACAACAAATTGTGACCTGGCAATGGTTATTCTTCTCAAGGAATATTGGAGCTTTATAAGGGAAAGGTGATAGTGTGAAGCACAAACACACATAAACACACAACATAACCACTACTTCCCTAACCTACAGACATCTTTGCTGTCATCTCCAATCCCTGYAGCCTCTTGGGGGCCACAGAGACTCATCTTGCCCAGAAAAAAGAATYCATGACTGGCAAATGTTATCCAAGGTTGGAGGGTCTGTGAAGTGAAAGGCCTGGAAGACATTTAGTCTAAATTCCACAGATTATACAGTGTTTAAAAAGGCATTACAAACATGGAATGGATAATGGAAGGATTTTTGTTCTTTTTGTGCTGATGTTTTGTTGTTCGTCCTCTTCTCCTTTTGTTGTCCRTTCTTGTTACTTTCTCTCTACTCCTTCCAGTTCTAAACTTAGACCTGAACTTTCTGTTGTCGATGCTGTCTTCAACCATTTCCCAAGATCCCTCTATTCCTCACATGGTCTGCAGTTGTTTCCATAATCAGTATCACTAAACTTTACGGAATTTGTCATCCTAATAGAACTGATGCATAATTCAAACAACCATCCATCTCTTTAATAGAATTCTTCCTAGATTAATTGCTTGCTCGCTCAAATGCTGCGGGAATATAGAAAGACCAAAAAAGGCAAAACTCAATAATTGAAATGTGGGAGCACACTGGTGTACAAACCATCCCACTATACAAATGAGTCCTGTGTGTGTGCRTATGTGCTTTAGCGGTCAGTCTATCAGAGAGTGTCCTTTTCAAGGATCACAGGCCAATCTCCAATTGGTGATAGCCTTCAGTCTTCTCAAAGGTTGGCTGGGATGACTCACACAGGAGACGAGAGRACGACAACCGTTTACATGAAAATGGAACATAGCTCTGAATATTGGATGTGCTCAGACAGTTATGATAAATTATGACGATACAGAGAGTCGTTTTAATATCTGCTAGTACATAAGCCCATAAAAAAGCTTTGGCAAATGGCACGTCGAGACATCTGCTTGAACATTAAATTCCCCGAAAGCGTGTTTTTCAAACCCTTACAAGTGGTTCAATAGAAAACGAGGAAATCTTCAAACATCCACGGCTTTCCTTCAAATCCTTATGATCCCACCTTAAAAGAATTAGACTCTTCTAGGTTTTTTCAAGAAAAGAAAACTTTTATGCAATGTACAGTTGAGCCACTAATTTTCTACATATTTAGAAGCCAATTGTTTGTCTTTTTTTGTCTTTTAAATCTAGTCACCATCTGAAACAGAACAACTCTGGACYTGGTTTTACTAAATAGCCACACATAATAAGCTTATCAGGCAATCYTTTTGTTCATCACACACATCAAAACACATATTGATGCATTTATTAAAATCTCCTGGTTTTTTTATCTTTGATCAACAATGTATATATGTTTACACTTCCCAAAAATTCACTGAGACAGTGACAGCTTTGAATGCTGCTTGGCAACAAGAACATGTTTCCTTTTTAGCTAATCATATAAATGGACAACCACAAAACACCCGTATAATGAAAATTTCATTCAAAGCCTTGTGACATGTGTGTTTTATTACTGACGCCTAAACTGAGGACTCCTGGAGCTTGTGTCAGTCACTTAGTCATGAAGAACAACAGGGAGACATACAGTCTCGTAACGACTTTCATTTGACTTGGGCTGTTTTCAATCTGTTAGAACAAATAACAAATAGACGTAATGGTTGGTAAACAAAACAATAAAAACGTATTAGTCGTGAAACTTCTCTGAAATATGTCTTTTTAATGATTCCCCTTTTCATTTATTCACCATGTTCTCATTTCTCTTCTTTTATTTCGCATTTCATTATTTGTCAACAGTGCTTAAAAAAGCACAGCCATAGATAAATAGGAAAATTATAGAAATAAGCACAAAGGCACATTAGATTTATGAATATTGTTAGATTAATCGATGGTGTTAGAATTGGAAGGGAGTTTTGCTTTCTGTTAGCTTTGTGTTTGTTGCATCAATGTCAACATGGGAGCAACAAAGAATAAAAAAAAGCACTTGGCAAAATATCATATTTACAAATTGTCCAAACCTTCAAAACAAGTATTATTAACAAATGGACGATTATCCAGCTGTACTGCACATAAAAATATATCATCAGTCCGTTCTGYCGAATGTTTGCATTTATTTTGCTTCTTTGTAAATGCCAAGCAAAATTGCAGATAAAAAACCCATATTTTCTCTTTATTCTAAAGTGTACACAAAGTCTGGCACACGCTTTTTCTCATGAAGTCATGCGGAGACAAAACGGCAAACGCTCATCTCTTGTCAAACAAAAGGTWTGAGCCAGAAAACACGAGGCTGAGAGGGAAAACTCCAAAAAATGATGAAATCCTGTTAGTTTGATGAAATGTGCTTTGTGTTTTCTAAGCTGGCCTCTTCGGTTAACATTCACAGCACTGAAAGTCAATCAGTCTCAGAATAATGTGCAACCAGTTTCCTTGCTGTGTACACAAATGCAAGCATGTATAATATTGAGATAACAGCACACACACACACACACACACACACACACACACACACACACACAC